AGCATGTAAAGTCCCAGTAGCTCACTGCACAAAAGAAAAAGACAGTGTAATTTATTGTTTGTGTGTTTAAGGTGTCAAAATGTGTCTTTACATTATATATTTTTAGTAATTTATGGTTAATGTTAATGGTAATTAATGGTTAGGTTTAGGAAAAAAGAACATGGTTTGGCTTTAGAGTCTTACGAGACGTGTTTGTGTTTGTTGGACCCATCCAGCAGCTCTCCCGCCCACTGCACTTGGACTTTCACTGCCTTAACTTTCGTCCTTGTCCCGCCACGTATCCCCTGACGCCGTTGGGTGCCATTGAACTATAATGGCAACCGGCTGCATATCATGGCGGCATTAAAGGACACATTTTTTTCATTGGTTTCTGATGCAGAAAGTCACTGCCCAAGGGTCGGATTTTGATGACTTGGGAGAGAGACCAGGCTCAAAAAACGCAACAGTATTATGTGCCTACTTGTGAAAACATTACTCCATAATTGTGAGGCTGCATCCACTAGTGGCTGTTGTAATTATCATAGGAGCAGAAGGGGGAAGTGACGCTGCATAAATAGTGACAAAGCCTGCAAAATGTTGTACAAATATCAAAGAAGTCCATATGGGGTGGATGGGTCAAACAAACCAGAAGACTAGTGGTTGCGTCCTGAAGTCAAGGTTGACTTTTTTAAATTACAATGTAGCCTTGTATGCTAACATGTGTAGCATGCTTTGACGTATGTTACACATGTCACGTGATATACACGACAATACAGTAGTGACAAAAGTACTTATTTAATGCCAGACCATTTGATGTTTTGTCGCGCAAATCTAACCTGGTAATTTTAGAGCAGATCCGCGACTGTTTAATGACATTAAGGACGTGCTTAAAGCATGTTTTTTTGGGGCATGGTCATATAAGTCATTTTGGAGGTCAGTGGAAATCAACCTATTCTGTCGTCAAAAACTCTACCAGGTAGCTATAAGGGGCGCTGAGGCCAGTAACATCACTATGTTCTATTAGATGCCAATAAGATGATAAAATGTGATCCAGGAAAGCCACGTTAAATACTAAAGCTTCCCTCATGTAAAATTGTGTTATTTAAATGCAACATTTTCAAACATAAATATCTGAAAGATGTTTTAATTAAATATTTTACTGGAAAGTTTTTTTTTGTAATTTTTTTAAAGATCAGAATCTAACCTTGTCATTAGAAACAAATTCTTTGTGTTAACTTCGAGTTCATAACACAACAGACGAACACCGTTCTCAGAGCTCTGGGTAACCAAAATGCTGGCGAAGGGGCGGAGGAGAAAGCTGAAAAGAAATTAAGGCGGGGAAGTGAGTAAGGGGGTGGTTGAGAAGGCGGGGCAAGGGCTGTGGTGGCGATGAGGAGGTTAGAGGTCAAAGGTCAGCCCCCCTAGTGATATCTCCTGTGCCAGAGAGGCAGTCACGACCCGGTCAGCGGAGGTTCAGGTGTCAGGGAGAGACGACTGACTGACAAGGCCTCTCCTGCGCTCCGTCCCGGTTGGACCTTTCATCCTTCCTTCCCTCCCTCTCCCCGTCACTCCTCCGTGACCCATCCCTCCCTTCCTTCAACCGCTACCCTCTTCGCTCTCTTCACTCTGTGTCTACCCACAGAAACCCCAACCCTGTCATCCTCTCATCCTTCCCTCCTTCCTTTCCCCCCACTCACCTTCTTTTTCACCCCTTAAGCTAAACATTACCACAGGGTTTCACTCAGCAGGCCGGGCTGACTGGGGCAGCTCTCTGTGGGGCTGTATGTCTTCAGTCCACCATCATATGCTCACACGCTTTGCATTCACACTCACAAAAAAATGTGCACATGCCGCACATATACGCACACAGGTTGTTGGCAGGAGCACATGTAGCCCACACTGTGCTGCCAATCCTACTGGAACATTTGGAGTATTTGAGTTTCCAGTTTTTACATACTGGGTCTTGTTTTTTTAGTTGTTGCTATCATGCCTGTCGGTTAAGAAAACATTTAATTCACTGACTTCATTGTGGAGATTCTGCTCATGTGGACACCACAAAGACAAAGACTCTACTTGAGGCAAAGGATATGACCCTGAATACGAAACTAGATCTCAGTTATAATGGTCTGTTTTATTGCTTAGGTTCTTTATTATTTCAAATTCCAGGATCAGCTAACCTTCTTCTCTTCCTTCTCATTGAGTTTACCTTTCAAGGGTCAATAAGTAAGTTGTGTATTAAACTGACCTCAATCAGCAGTTGGGGACCTGCAACATCAATTGATTGCAGCTTTGTTATGTAAGTTTGGACAATGTGTTTTGAAAGACAGAAGTACACAGAGAACAATTGTTGAGTCACTGTTATTGATTCCATTAACCTCTACAGACGTATGATGGTCATTTTGTGGTGTGCTTTTATTTATTGCACCTTTAACACATAGGGTGGTCATTTCCATCTTGCAATGCACCCATTAAATCAATATAATACACCTATTATTGTGGGTGGGTGGCATTGTGGACTTGATACTTACCATTAAGCTGGGAGGGATTTAGCAGCCCATTTCATCATCAGTGACTATTTCCTAATTACAGAACACTGTATAACCAAGAATTACAACAACATGTCAGAGAAACTATGTTTATGTGTCAATATATTTTTAGTATATGACATACAATGTCATAACAGTGGCTACTCGTCAGTTATTGACTCCTTCTGACCTGGTCATTAGCCAGAGCTGATAGATTAACCACAACTGACTGCAGGTCAAAGTGCTGGTGATGGACGAACAAAATGTAGCTAATAGTTACTGCAATGGTAGCTACGTGTGATAGCTATTGTTTTTCTGCACTTACAAAATTGATTTACTTTTGATGAACCACAAAATCAACCACAAACTAGTAGCCAATTCCTTTCTGATTGGTTTGTGATGGTGAATGGTTGTCTTTATCACATATTGCCTTTTTGCTTTTTGCATTTCTTGTCAGTTCAACCTTCTTATCTGGAACCTAAATTAAAAAAATCCACTATATATATCTTTCTACTTACAATATGAAATCCCACCCTCAATTTTCTAGCTCATTCTGATCCAAAAACTAGTGCAACAGACGCAGCAACCATAAAGCCAGTCAAGAAAGTCAATTAACACTTTTAAAAGTCTTGCTTGCTACAATATGATCATAACACCTTTTTATTGCAGGTCTTAAGACATGAACTCCAGTCTCCTGCATGAATATCTGAGTTCTTACATGCCCATCATCCACCAGATCTCCACACCATAAAGCTGGCCTCAAACATGAGTTTTGGGACGATTAATATCAGACTGACCCCTTCTGAAAATCAGAGGAGAAATCAGATTTGGTTTGGGACCTTGCTCGGTATCAACATTCAAGCCAGATTATCTGGTAATGTGAGAGGTTAACAGATTCACATCCTTAAACCTTGCGAACTGCTTGCAGACTCATCTGCATCCGCCCCAATAATTTCAAACAAGTTAGATATTTAGGAGTGTGTGCGTGTGTGTAAGATTTAGGGAGATTTAGTGGCATCTAGCACCAAGGATTGTCAAATTGCAACCAGCTGATAGTTCTCATTAGAATTCCTTCAGTGTTAATTGTTGTGGAGGTTTTCAGTGGGAGCTGAATTATCTGCAGAGGTCTCTTTTTCTCAAAAACAAATGGACCAAGTGATTAAAACCAGTAAAACACAGAATAAAGCAGCTTCACTTAAAAAAACACATCGTTTTTCCAATGCTGCTTGTGGCTGAGAGGCTTCTAACTATGCAAAAATGAGAAGATGGGAATGGCCTATTTGGAGTGAGTGTTTGGTTTGTCCACTCTGGGCTATTGTAGAAACATGGCAGTGCAGCATGGAGGACGTCATGGAGGAGGACCCGCTCAATGTAGATGTAAACGGCACATTCTAATGTAACAGAAACACAACGATTCTTATTTTCACGTGATTATACACTAATTAAAATACCTATTATATTATATTATATATAATATCCCCCTAATTCTTACACACTTGACTTCTAAAATCTGGATGATGATGGTTACAATTAAATCAGAACAATGCAGCTGACGGTGTTGCAAGCAACAGTAAACATTTTAACCCTTAAGGCTAACATCAGCTAGCATACTACTGTTGACAGATATTAAAACTGATAGTTAAAATCTCAACTCTAGTTCTCGCCAAAGAATATACAACTGGTATTAACCACATCTCCCCAGCCTTTTTCTCATCCAGACTCGTTAAGCCCTCTGCTTTTGTTTTTCTCATTGCAAAGCATTGTTAACATTGCAGCAAGTCTCCATTTTGTTTACGTGAGATCACATGAGGTGGTGCAATATCGATACGCTATTTCTTTCACATTTTGTAGTGGGTGCATGTTTGAGATTAGAAAGAAGAACATCTGTGAAGTCTCTCCTTATGTGCATGATGCAACCGAATTTCAAAATCAGTTAGGATTTTAAGTCCAAGCCCGGTGTTATCTTCTGTCTTGCGTCATAAACGGCATGCTACATCCTGCACTGGCACTCAATGTCATGTAAAGCATGAGGTGCAGAATCATTTAGTGGGTGTAATTCTTAGGAATACTGGGCTAGGCCTTATACAGAACTTAGGATCTATTTCTTAAGGATATTAATGCACACACTGAAATAATCTACTCGGCATTATAGTGTCTAAGATCCCCTTGAGGCAGTCTGTGGGATTTAAGTTTGTTTAATAAGACTGTTAGCTAATGACATGTAATGTAGCTCAGCAGCTCTATCAAAGGCTCAGATAGTTTAACATTTTTAATGGACTGGTAAGCAAAAATATGGTACACTGGGCGGTCAATCATGTAATTCAGTGAGTCTCATTAAAAATACATAATATTGTCTTTTTTTTGTTTACTAGGGCTCATGATAATGATGTCTCAAAATACAGCACAATGTTTTTGTTTAAGTATTATTTTAACCTCCCAGCTTTCTTACTGCGTCTAGTGTGGGAACAGTATTTCATAACCATTTCACGTCTACAGAACCAACCTCACCCCGAAGGTATGGATGAGCTTCTCATCACTCTCTTACTGTCTCATCATCATGTTGACTGGCACGCCTGAGGACACGAGACAGCCAGACATAGTCACGGGCAGGTATGCACACACAGACATACACTTTGGCAGGTGCAGGCTGCACGAAAGGGCTGCCAGTCGTTTCTTCTGTGTTGCTTTTCATTAACTTGTCTAATGCAATCAAAGACTGTCAACAAGAGTGACAGAAGGAGAAAGAAGGGGAAGACAAGGCGGAGAGAAGGAGAGAGAGATCGCTTCCTTCTTTTCACAGATATGTATGTCTGTGCTCATGCAGCTGCATCTAAAATGAAACTTCCTTTTTCTTTCTGATAACATTGTGTCTGGCCTTTTGTTGTTCCTGAAATGTCCTTGGGGCATTTTGCAACACAAATGCATCACATATACACACGTACAGGTGAGAAAATGTCGTGATAGAAGTATGAAATGCTCTGGGCAGCATACATTCTACGCTGTCAGCTCATCATATACTATATCTCCGGAAGCGCACACCTGCATGTTCCAAAAAAAAACATTAAAAGGCAAGTGTTACTGTTGAAAAGCGACATTTGCAGCAATGCAATCAGGACGTAAAGTGAAATGCCACACCGTAATGAAATAACGACAGAATACATTCACGTCTCTGCATAAACCGATGGCTTATTTCTTTGCTTTCGAGAAGCGCGTCACTCTGCTAAAGGTTAAAGGGAAGATATTCTAATCAGGGACTCTTTACAGAGCAGCAGCTCAATAAGGTCAACTGGTGTCACAACATTCAGGTTGGAGGGAGGAATGTGTGTGTACAAGTGTGTGTACGCACGCTATTTTACTTTGTAGTCATACTGTTTACATTTCTGTGGGTTGTGCAATGTTTCTTTTTCTTGTTCTGTCTTTATTTATCTTTGGTCACTTTGCTGTATCACACTATGAAAATGCTATCACTGCATCCCTCTAAGATCCACACACACACACACACACACACACACACACACACACACACACACATACGAGTGTCTGATGCGGTGATCCGCCGGCCAATCGGCTGTATTGATTATTGGGCCTGGGGAGGTTGGTGGAGCGGCAGCAGTAATTAGGGCTTTTTGGTGTGGATTAGCCGAGAGAAAAGGTCACCCGCTCAACATCAGTGGCAGGACCACAGGCAGGGACAGGGAGGGGTGGATGGCTGGAGGGGACTGTCCCCAAACGTGATGGCCATGATTGGCAGGGCCGTGTATGTATGTAACATGTATGTAATGGATGTAAGCACATGCAGAAAGTGAGTGACAAAAGATAATTCCATTTTAAGACAACATCAATCTTATTTTTGTAGTTTTTAAAATATTTTCTTATTGGTTATGATAACGCTGTACTCACCAAAGTATCGCTGTGATCTGGGAACACAGTCAATATCTGACAGGGCAAGAAACTTGATCGTTCAGATTGTGCTGTGAACAAACCAGAGTTTTAGAGAGATTATCCAAACCACTTTACTTGGGGGTAAAACTCAAAGTGAGCTCATTCCTAATGTCAGTATTAATCTTCCTTTAAAACTGTGCGTACATCACTTCTGTAAGGTATGTTAGAGTTAAACTAATAGGTCGGTTTATAAATGATTTGGAAAAGTAAAACCTACAAGTAAAGAGTTTTCTCTCTTAGAAAATGAGAGTTTTTTTCTACTGTCTGACTTGTTTTTTAGCAATGCTGAAGCAATTACCTTAATGAGTACATTGTTATCTTAACCTGTGGACGCTGGCGCCCCAAGAAATTTTTCATAGGGGTGGCCAGATGGCGCCACTGAAAATCTTGAAATTAAGTAATTGTATGCAGATATACTTAGTTTTTTCTACATGTAATGTTACTAATTATCCAGCCTACAGTTGCCAGAAGAAAGTATTGGCATTGTACATTTCTGCAAATCGCCATGTTAAGCTCTGCCTGTTAGATGCATTGTCTTCTTTCAAAATAGAACCCTTCCATTTTTACAGGAAATTTACTGTTTACATACAGTCTCTTTCACAATAAATGCGCAACATCCGTACAACACCATGCATTGATGTTTTTTTCCTTCAACAACAAACACATGGTTGGGTTTAGGCAACCGACACGTGGTTAGGTTTAGGAAAAAAACACAAGGTTTGGCTTTAAAATTTTACAGGACACAAACACTGCTCTTTCGGGTGAAAGTCAGTGTTTGTTGGACCCATCCACCACCACTCCCACCCGCCCTAGTCAGGCTTTCACCACCTTAACTTTCATCCTTGTCCCGCCACTTTTCCCCTTGACGCCACTGGGCAGTGTTAGACTACAATGGCAACCGTCTGCGTATCATGCTGACATTAAAGGACGCCTTTTTTCATGGTTTCTGACACCGCAAGTCACTGCCTAAGCGCAGGATGTTGATGACTTCAGAGTGACACAGGGCTCGTTTTTAGGGACTTATTGCTGTATTTCCTGCGGCTTTTTAGCTCCTAAATTGGGGTGTTTTTTAACCACATGTTGCTGTTCCTCCAATGGGGATACTGTCATGAAAAGCAATTGTTTTTAACAAGATATCACTTACTTTCCTGATAGGATAGTGATAGGAAAAGTGATTGTTTCTTAACAAGACATTGCTGCATTTCCAGTCGGGATTGTGCCCCCAAACTGGGTATTTTGAGCCATAACATGATCTTTTCCTAACCATAACTAAATGTTTTTTGTGCCTAAACCTGACCACACATTAACCACAGGGCTAACCCTAACCCTAACCCTAACCCCTAACCCTGAAACTTAAAGTTTTAATGTATCCGCTACATAATAACGTGCAAATACGACATATCTTTAACATGTGGATAAATAAAGAGTATGTGTTTCTATGTACTCAGACAATTCAAAGACGTGAACATTACTGTAAGTGCATAAACTTGATAAATCACATCATGTACTGTTGCATTGACGATTTAAAGTCTTTTAAAACTTTTCTTCTCTCTCTCTCTCTCTCTCTCTCTGTCTTTCTCTGTCTCTCCAGACCTGCAGGTTGACTTCTCAGTGGTATGGCAGGTCTGAGTGTATCTTAGAGGGTCACGACCCTCCCAGGCTGTGACCTGGACAAACAGGACTGAGGAGCTGCAACAGGACATGGAATGTCCCTTTTGTTTTTGTTTTGTTTCACTTTTTTGTTGAAAAGGTGGAAAATTCCTCCCACTGCACTTGCTGGAGCAAAAGAAAACATTTTCTTGGCAACGAATGAGGCAGAGTTTACATAAGAAACTTTATGTGACTGCAACAAAAATTATAACGCTCAGGCAGTGCTCTCTGTTGTAACTGAGGATGCATAACTTTTTCTTTTCCCTTTGTGAATGTCATCTTCTAAGCAACTGAAAATGTGATTTATTTTAAGAGCAGCACTTTTTCTTTGTGAACATATTTTTGGTGTTAGCACAGCCACTTGTCTGCATTATCTGTATGTCCCACATTATATATGTTCTATGCGACTGGTGCCATGTGGAACCAATTGTTTCCTAATAAAAAAAGGCCAATGTGAATGATTAAGAAGGTGTCTGCACGTCTGCATTTACTGGGTGTCAGCTCCCCTTCTTCTGCTCCACAGCGGCTCAGTGTGAGGCAGCAGCAGCTGTGGCAGATTTGAGGAGCGCTGGTTTTGTGCAAAGCTGCAGCACTCCTAGTGGTGGAAACACAAAAGAGCAGCTACATTTCTGCAAAATCAACCAGACAGGAGGAGACAAGTGCTGATTGAGGGAGCATGTGTGCATGAGTATTGCTTGTATTGCATCGCCTTGTTTTTGTGTGTTGTGTTTTTGCAGTGGCAGTGACACGTGTGTTTGTGTGATGGTGGTGGTGGGAGAGGCATGCATGTATACGTGACTTTTCTGTGTCTCATCACACAACAGGGCAGTGCGTGTGTTCCATGACATGCGTAGATGCATCACTGGAGAGGACTATTTGTGGCGCTTTGTGTTCACATGCACATCCGGGCTTTCTATGTATGTGGTGTGCATGATTTGTAAATGTCAGTGGAAATGGCATGCCAACAGAGGTTCTGAAGAAGTGTTGTGTTGTGTGACAATAAAGGACATACATAATTGAGAGGGGAGTTGGAAACAAACGTACGAGGGCCAAACAAACCTTGAATACTCCAAAACAGACTTTCAGATTGATATGAAGACAGTGGATGTGGCAAATCTGTATCTGACGCCGTTTTACTGCTGCAGTGTTCAGCTGAAAATCGGACTCAAGAAAACACTGAAATGTTTACAGTGACTGGTAAAGGTGAACAGGGTTGCCCAGTGTTTAGCAATTTGATGTATTGTGTAATCAAAGGTGCCTGGTTACATTTTAATCTACAAAGTCAACAAAGTATTGTAACATCTGCAGTTCATAACACTCATCGCAAAACACATAATCCCTGTAATTCCAAGTATTCCTGTTGTCACAGCAGACTGGTGTTGCTGAAGACTTTGTTGAGATCGTATTTTGTTTCTATGACAATGGTATGCAGCCATGATCTTGTCTGATTGGGTCTTGAATCTGTTGTCATAGTACCCCGGTCATTTAAAGCTAACAGTACAGCTTTATGGTACACTATAGTGGCAGGATAGGCAGAGCAGTCAGGGTCTATCCGGACTCTGCACAGCTCCTGCATTATAGAGTTCACTAGAGGGTCAAAAGTGTCACCACATACATCACAGCTGTAGCAGAACGGCACACACCGTTGCCATGGTGATCGGCCATTTTTTTTTCCCCCCACTGTGCTAAGCCAAACAGTGGTGGGTGGGTGCCGAGATACGAGAAAAGACAAAAAGGATTGTGTGCCCGGTCTTATGTATGTTTCGGAGCGTTTGTATGTAAAGCGAGTGTGTTTATTTGGTCAGGCGTATTTCGGTTACTGCTAAAGAGACACATGTGTACCTTCCTTGTTTGGTCTGACTATCTGTGGTCTCAGCTGTACTCATCAGGAACGCTGTGCAACAATAGCTAAGGTGCCCGCGGAGGGAGCTGCGCAGCGTGATAAAACTGGCAAAATGAGGGTGTCAGAAGCTCCATTGAACATAATCAGGCTGTGGTAGATGGGCTCGGCTGTTGGGTTTGGGACCATAAGTCTGGCGATTAAACATGCATGGGGAGAATCCTTCATCACAGGGCGAAACAAAGCCGCCCTGCCCTTCCCACGTGTTCCAACATCGCCATGGAAAAAGCCTGTTTCCCTGGCAACCAAACTGGCTCTCTTTGTCACAGGAATGGAGAAAGAGGAGGAGGAGAAGGAGGGGGAGTTGAGTGGAGGCATGACACTCCACGCTGACCTCCACCTGACCTCTAGGTGAACATGCCGTTTTGGTTTCCTGCTTTCCTGGAGGGAACACTGTATTGGTCATTTTTCGGCGAGACAAAGACGAGTTCTGTCATCTGAGCTAAAAAATTCTGCATCTCTCTTCTTAAGACACTCATAATGTTCCTCTTCGAAATATCATACACATTCGAACAGCTAAGTGAACTACCAAATGTTCTAGGACATTAACATGGGCTGTCATTACTCCATGCTGAAAGACAATGCTGCCAAAATGCTTTCAAAAAAGCCGTCATCTTTTCTTCTACTGCCCCCAGTGGCACACTGTACGGCCAGTGAAGGTGAAACGGGGAGAAGCATAAAAAGGGCTGAGTGAAAGAGAAATGACTCAAGGCGAGGAAATGGAGGATGCAGTTCAGAGAGCGTAGTGGTGAGAAAAAGACAATGGCTTGTTAATACAGGTGGCCAGAAAAGGAGAGGAAGAGAGACAAAGTGAGACGCCGCTTTTATGTCGACCCGCGGCTGCTCCCATAGCAAAGGCTGCTACTCTAGCTGTAATGTTAACCTAGTGTTTCCCTAATGGGCTTAATGACATATGGAGCACAGATTGCAGCAGGAGCCGGCTCACTTTGAAACCACTGTCGCCTCCCTCAGGGCTTCGTGAGCACTACATTATGAAGACGTGGTGACTGAGGACACGGGTCATATCTGGTGAACTTTAATGGTTATCAGATGATAATTGAAAGGATCTTTTCATGACCTGAAACATCTGATTATAAGCAGCTCTTAACGGGTGTATTACTTTCTTCTTAGATTCCCAAAACATCAATTCCTGACGATCATTATCTAAGACACTACATGATGATATGCCTTCTTTCGTAAATTCACGCCACTGGCCCGTGTGACATCTCCCTAAGCATCTCCCCACGGCATATCACCCGCCATTTTGTTTCAATTTGTTCCCATCACCGATATCTCTTCCTCCTCTCAGCTCCTTTAGTCTGTCCACATCTCACTTGTCGTCTGGCCGTCATCTTCCCGTGGACTGTTACTGATGATATCGGATTGCTGTTGGCTTTACGCCGCTGAAAAGTGGAGCTAATGGGCTTTCAAATGCTTTATTGTGAATGCAACCTGTCAAGAGGGGAGAGATAGGATCAGATTTGATTAGGGGGCGACAGCGGCAGAATAAAATAAAAGAGAGGGAATATTGTTTGTTTTTCTTTATCTGTGTGCGTGAAGGAAAGAAAAAGAGAAACTTCATAAAGTGTATTTAGCCTAATTCACTCCTTTGCGCTGGCCTTATTAGACGCCCTTGGACCATCCTTATCTCCGCAAGTCTTTTCATCCCATTCCCTTTCCCCTTCCTCCTCAGTTTGCTGTTTCCATATGCATCCCTCCCCAGCAGAGCGGAGAGTAACACTGCCTCTCTTGGCTGGATGCGGTAAATGTGTTCCTCTCTGGCAGATGAATGATGTCAAACAGACATATTTATATTCATTTAGGACTGAGGAGGAGGAGAACCCATCTGTAACGGATGTGATAGAAACCGCTACGTGTGAGTGTGCATGCATTTTGGTGTGTGTATGCATGTGTGTGTAGGCACACGCGTGTTTGAGCATGTGTTCCAAGGTATCCATCGTTCGTGATAAATGAATTGTGCTTTTGTGTGAGTTGATACCGTGTTTGTGGATTAGTGTGTGTATGAGCTTGTGTGTGTGTGTTTACAGCGTGTGTGTGTCTGCGTGCAAGTGAGGTCATTCCCCGGTCACTCGTTCAGGCTGTGTGATGAATGAAGAGGAGAGGTGCCTGCAAAGCCGGAGAGATTTGGGAGAAACATTGTTCCACGGGGTTAAAAATGGTCTTGTGTTGTGCCAGAGGCTGAGGGAATGTTACTAAAAAAATGTAAGACTGCAACTTAAGTGGATGTTCATCATATCCGATGTTTAATATCAAGCTGGGCAAAGTAATAAACTCATAAAATATTAACAAGAGCCATTTGATTGTGCATATTTGCTCAGTGAGAGACTTTGCAAGTAAATTAAGTTCCCAAAATTTGCTCCCTCTGTGTATCCATTTCTCCTTTCCTTCAGGAGAGGTGAGGTGGAAGTGTCTGTGTTTGGGTTGGACGGCAGGCCGATGGGGTCAAAGACATTTGACTCAACCAGGAAGTATCAGGTTGCAGTAGACAGGAAGTCAGTGGACCAAACAGGAAGGACTTTACGTAGAGGAGGCTACTGAAAGGCAGCAGCATTCACAGCCATCAGTGTCTGTCAGCACAAGGCCAAAGAATAGATTTGTGTGTGTGTGTGTGTGTGTGTGTGTGTGTGTGTGTTATTTTGTCTGCCGTAGCTCCCTGCACTACAATCTATTTGTGATATTGCAATTCTACATTAGAAACTATGGATAAATCTACAAAAATCACTGTAGTAAAAGTAAATGTTTATTCCCACACTACTGATTAATTTTAAATTGGTTATTCATTTTGATTTATATATGTTTTGTTGTGTGTGCATGCACTTCTATCTGTTAAGCCCAATTCAGACAAAAGATTTGTGACGAGTTAAAACTCCCAACTACTTGCAATGCGCCGCTCTGCAACCCTGAAACCAGCCAGTTTACACCAGTGAAACTTAGCCACAATAATCTAAATAATCAGCACTGATTAATCAATTAGTGAGTATGAGTGTGAGACATACAGCGAGCAGCAGCAGCGACACGATCAACATGTGTCAACAACCGCAGGGACGTTAATGAAATGGACTCGTACTCAGCAGGGATGGAGGGCTGTTGTTGGAGTTCTAACGTACTACAGTGGTGTTGTCGAATGTTTGGTCTGAACTGGGCTTTTGGATAGAGGAGGCAGCTGTTTTGTACAAGTCCCATGGGAAACAGGTGCTAGATTCAATGTATTTCCTGCTCCCAAATGACCCAGAATTTGAAAATGAAGTAATTCAAATGGATGAATGTTTACATCAAAGTGCAGTCTTCAGCTCTGTGATTGGATTTTTTTCTTCCTGAAATACACCGTAGATAAGTCATATTTGACTTCTCCTCACAGTTTTTATGTCCACTGGTTGGATTGGGCTCCACAGACAGAATCAGATATTTTCCAATGCAGCAGTTCATCTTTTGTACTGATGATTAACCAAGAGAGTTTCATGTCCACCCAAGCTTTGAAGTGCTCCGACCATCACAAACATCACTCATAAAGCATTACAAC